TTGAAGGGAAGCTATAGTATGAACTATAATGATCAGAAAATCCTTAATGGCATATATGTCCTCAGGCTTTTGAACAAATACATTCAGAAAACAGGTGTTCAGATATTTTATAAAAAATTAACAGTTCATGTGTCAGAACTTGTGTTCCATGTATCAGAACATAGACTTTTTGATACTTGAAACACAATTTCTAAATTACTATATGGAAGATGAGATCATGTCAAGTAGATAAGAGGACAAAAACTTTCTTACAGAAAAAAAACAAGATGCTAATTTGGACATGCATAAAAGATGACAGAATAAATAAGTAATGGTTAAGATTTTCTTACATTCCCCTCATCTTTATCCACTTTTAAAAGTATTTTTTGTTTTCCTGCTCAGGCCACATACTTTACTTCTACTCTGACCATTTCAGAATTTATATGGTTAGGGCCTAGAACAATAGTATAGCAGGTAAGGTGCTTGCTTTGCACACATCCAATCTGGGTTTAATCCCTGATATCTCATATTGTTCCCTGAGCAACAAGAAGAGTTCCTAAATGCACAATCAGGAGTAAGCTCTGAGCAACATCACCTGAGGCCCCAAAGAATTAACAAATAAATAAATAAATAAATATAAATGATCAAACTGCAGAGGTCTTTTCCTCACTTTTATCAAATGATTTACCTTAGAAAAAATTTTAGTTATTAATCCTTGTTCACTTTTGGAATATAAATGAATAAATTTTTTTTGTGTTTCATTCTTAAACAGTTTTAGTCAAAGCAATTGCAAGTTTCAGCTCTGGATATTTCTTAAAAAATAATATAAGCATTTGCCATATTTATGTATGACATATGTAACATGTATGACATGTATTCTGTATGACATACAAGAATACGTGTGCTGTATTCAAAAGATAACTAGAATTACTTGATAACTAGATAACTGGAAATTAGATAATCAGAAATATATCTTATCCTTAATCTAAATCGTGTGTTTGCATGTATTTGATCTTTAAAAAACTGTGAAAGTTGCAAAAATACTTGACTATAATGTTAATTGAAATTAAATAGTATTACCTCAGACTCAGGCCTATATTATTCAGTATTTATCTATTAGTTAGGTATAGGTAATCAGATACTTATGTCAGATTCATTAGCGAAATAAAAGAACCAAAGTTTCTTATGTTCATGTAATTTATAAGCCATTTTAACTACTTAGAGTTTTTCAGTAAATTCATGCTGTGTAGGCCATTTTAATATATTTTTTAATATTGGTAATAATTTGTGCTCTGTATTATTAAAGGTAATACAAGTAAGAAAAATTGCCAGAAGATGCTAAAGATCGGTTTCTTTATAGTAGGAACTGAATGTTATCTCATATGTATTCACACACATATAACATCACTCAGAATCTACAATAATGATGGCTCTTATCCGCATTACTCATATAGTTTTTGTACTTATTTTATAACTATAATTAGCTGCACTTGAATGGAAATGTAGCCACAAAGTGATAACAAAACAAATAAATGAGCCTAATTGAATGTCCATGACCAGTAAATTTTTCCAAATTGAATTATTAGCAGCTTTGTCTTAACTTTTATTGTGAAAATAAAAAAACTACTCTTACATGACTTTTCTATCTAAATTTATTTTAGTTATTACAGGCTGGAGCAATAGCACAGCTGTAGGGCGTTTGCCTTGCACATGGCCAACCCGACCAACCCGGGTTCAGTTCCTCCGCGGCAAAGCCTGGCAAGTCCCTGTGACATATTCAATATGCCAAACACAGTAATAACAAGTCTCACAATGAAGACGGTTACTGGGCCCGCTCAAGCGAATCGATGAACAATGGGAGGACAGTGATAGTGACAGGAATAATATCATTACTTTTATGTTCTGTGAATAAGAAGGATGCATCAGATGATACATATCTAAAATAAAAAGAATAAATTTTATTAATGGAGGATAATAAATTAGTTTCAAATTTATTACAAATAGGAAATTTTTGTAGAAATAAATGACCAGTACAGAACAAAGCTATGAGAATTTTCTATTGAAAATGTATTTTTAAATCTTTTTGTTAATAAAGGTTATTAGTATAGATTAAATATTTTGATAAAAATAGTTTATTTCACATTAATTTAAAATTAAATTATCTATATTTCTAAAGAATGTAATTAAAGTAGCTTTTTAAAAAATGTTTACTCTGTTTTGAAAATGTGTTTGCTATATCAGACACAGAAAACATTATTGGTTGCATTCATGTACTAATATAAAATGCAGTTTAAAATGTTGTAAGTGATGTTTAATTAGAAAATGTGACTTTTTCCCATTTCTGTATTTGAGCCATATCTGGAATTGCTAAGAGCTTTCTCCTGACTCTGGACTCAGAGATCACCCCTGTTGGGGTTTGGGGGATCATATGTGGATATGTAGTGCTGGGGATTGAACCTAGGTTGGGACCTTGCAAGACAAGCACCCTGCCCGTTGTACTATCACTTCAGCCATGAAAATGTGACTTTTTTTTTAAACTTTATGTTTTAAATTTTATCTTAATTTATTTTTGCTTTTTGGGTCACACCCAGTGATGCTCAGGGGTTACTCCTAGCTCTGCACTCAGGAATCACTCCTGGCAGTACTCGGGGGACCATATGGGATGCTGGGGATCAAACCTGGGTTGGCTGCATGCAAGACAAATGCCCTCCCCACTGTATTATTGCTCCAGCCCCAAAATGTGTCTTTTTTAAGGGACAGTTTTATTTATTTTATAGGAAGGAGGTTTGGGTCACACCCTGGTGATACTTTGGGGACCATACATGCAGTTAAGCTCAGCCACTGTAGTTGTATGCAAGGCAAGAACCTCACCTCCTATAACATCTCTCTGGCCCCAAAAGTGTGACTCAATATTAAAAAGAAATATATACTTATGGCATGTTAATAATAATGCTCTTGTTATATTTTGTTCATCTCTCTTTTGAACAAAAATGCTATTATCTTAAGTTTTTTTAAAAAACTAAATAAATGGAACATGTTATTATGAACTCGAAATTATGTAACTTATGCAATAAAAACATTAACTGCTAATATTCTTATAACTGAAACAAGGCCTGTAACTAAGGGAATTTATTGTCAGTGCTGGTTAAAAATAAATACTTGTACACTTTATTAAATATCTACTTGGTTTTGGTCTCAGGGTACACTCATGTTTCAATATTTTACTTTCATTCCCCATTAAAAAGTGTTATGGTGTAAACTGTCAAGCAATGACTGCGGAGTTTTCAGAAATTTTTCTTGTAGCATCATTTAATCTTTTGTAGGTATTTAATGAATTATCAGTTACTAAATTAAAAATTTCCATTTTTTTACATAAAACTCTTTCAATCTGTTTCTAAATTCTAATGTTGTTTCATTTTGCATCACTTAAAGATGTTAAGAGAATGGGTCCTGGAAATAATACATGATATTTTTTGCCAACTCCCATTTGATCCTTGGCATCAACTAGTTAAGCAACCTCTAGGTGCAGATCTGGAGTCTCTCAGAGCAGCCCTGTGTGCCCAGGATAATACCTGGCACAGCAGAGCACTAGCAGCATCCTGAGCCCTGGCATTGCATTGAATCACCAGTGCAGTTGGCAGACAAATGCACCATAAACCTAAATGTTTATTTCATTTCCTTACTCAAATGCAGCATTCGGTTGTGCACAGACAAATGACATATGCAATATCCACCCATATTTATAACACCATATATTCTCCATGGTTTAACTACCTTTTTTTGTGCACGGACAAATGACATATGCCATATCCACCCATATTTATAATACTGTATATTCTCCATGGTTTAACTATTTTTTTTTTGTAAGTCATTATCCTTTTTTTAGCATATTTTGGTACTTCACTGGAAAACAGAAGACTATTTTATCTTGCTTAGCCCTAACTCTATACTTAAAAAGATACACTTTTATTTTTTTTCTGCCCAGTAAAATTAAAGTATTTCTTCTTATTGTTATTATTAACATTGTGCTAGAATTTACATTGCACACTACTTGAAGGAATGACATTTATGATCTGGTACCCACAGAAATAAAATCACACCTAAGCTAAAAATGAATCATATATTTATTTGAAAAAAATTTGAATTCTTATGTCAGTGCAACTAATATGAATATACATTCATATGTTTATGGTTTTAGAAATGTTCTTGTATTGGTATGAGAATTAAATAATGTAAGAATGTTACAGATGAGCTTTCCTTAAGCAGATGCTTACAGATGTTTCTGAGGATTATATTTTACCAGTGATTTTGGTACAAGACCAATTTATTTCGTTTAGTAATGAAATTCTAGTAAAACCCTCCTGAGAATTTTCAGCTGGATATAAAAACATTTCGTCTTTATTGTTTCTACCACTTTTAGTTAGTAGAATGCAGTGATGGATTTCCTGTTATCCCAAGACAGGCTAAAAGAGTTCTGTTGTGTCCAGATTGTGTCTTGGTGGAAATATAGTCAATCTTATTTGTCACAAGCCTCCTTATCTCTACAACTTATGTCTTCGTGTAACCTTGGGGATTAATGTAGCATCTATCTTAATGTCTACCTAATTGGGGGAGGGAAGAGTCAAAGTTTTACCGTGTCATTGCTGTTTAGCGTTTATATCTTCCAAATTGATGCCATAGCAATCTTGAAAGATACATATCAGATACCACATGGTAGAAAAACTCTTCTCATTGATCTTGTTTAGTTTCTCTTTTTTTCATTGCCTTCTATAATTTACTGGCTGTGTATTTTTTCATTAAAACATTTTATATGTTTACTATATAAATAAAAATAAATGTCTAAAATATTATGAGGAACTGCTGTAAGAAATCTTTCTATCTTAGATTTTGATTTTTTTATTTAGATATCACACTTATTAGTTAATAGAATGCTATGAGTAAACTAAAGATAGCCAATGAACTAATGTAAGATTATATGGAAACTAAGAAATATTTTTCTCATGTATTTTATTTTTTCCCAGAAATCAAAAATCTCCACTTATGATAAAATGTGGGCCTTTATGAGTAGCAGGAGGCAGTCAGTGCTCGTCAAAAGTAATGAAGAAGGGATCCAGCGAGTTCTCACCTCTGATTATGCTTTCCTAATGGAATCAACAACCATTGAATTTGTTACCCAGCGGAACTGTAACCTGACACAGATTGGCGGCCTTATAGACTCCAAAGGTTATGGTGTTGGCACCCCCATGGGTAGGTTTTCTGTCAGTTTCTTATTCTTTCTTCATTAATCTTAGCTGCTGTGAGAAAAACACTGTGTCCATATGCCATTAGGAATTTTGTTTTTAACAAATGTGTCTTGCTACATTCCATTACTGTATAAAATCAGGGAAGCAATTTGGACATGTACTACGAAAATGGTCAGTAGATAATTTTACTCTATAACTGCTAAAAAATACCACAACTTGACCCTAAAGGACCTTTGCAATCCTTCGTTTGAAATTTTTTATGCATTAAATTACTTTTATAACCGTTTTTCTCGTATTTATGCCTTAAGTATATTTAATCTTGAAAATTGATTAAAAGAAAAGCTAAATTTATTTTTATTATTTTATTTTTCCAATTTTTCCCTTAATTATGGGAAAACAAATATTGCAGCCTATTAACCAATAATATATCTAGAATTTATAATAATCAGGAGTTTTGTTTTGTTTTGTTTTGTTTTGGGACCACATCTGGCAATGCTCAGAACTTAATCCTGGCTCTGTCCACAGAGGAGCTCAAGGGAACATATGTGGTACTCAGGGTCATACTCCTGTCAGCCACATGCAAGAGCAAGCGTCCTACACACTTACTATTTTTCTGGCTCCTGATATCTCTTGTATGTAATAATAAAGGAATAAAATATGACATTTTCTAGAATAGCAGTGGCAATTTTGATTTATTAAATGTCATAGATATATTAATATTTATCTACTCCAATTATGAATAATTAAATAAATGATATCTCAGTACATATATGCAGACACAGTCGTTATAACAGCCTTCCCCAAATATCCATGGTCCAATCCTCACAACCTGTCAATATGTTTTCTTCTATGGCATAAGGGACTTTTGAAAATGTGGTAAAATTAGTATTACTGAGTTTAGAGAGTAATCTGGTTAGTTGAGTTCAATTTAATTTTTGGGGGGTCAAACCTGGTGATGTACAGGGGTTCCTCCTGGCTCTGCACTCAGGAATTACTCTTGGCGGTGCTCAGAGGACCATATGGGATGCTGGGAATAGAACCTGGGTCGGCCGCATGCAAGGCAAGCACCCTACCCACTGTGCTATTGCTACAGCGTATTTAAAAATACTATGTTTAGAAAAAAGCTCTCGGGACAAAGTCACTGTTCAGAAGCTATGATTAGGGAAGAGAAGTGTGAGAGAGAATACTTAAAGAAAGAATTCTTTAGTCCATTCATGCTGCTTATCCAGAGATCTGTGGTTTTATAAAAAGAAGACATTTCTGACAGTTTTGGAAGCTGGAGGTCGACTCATCATCAGGTGACAGCCTATTAATCAATAGCATTCCCGTATGGAAGGCACTCTAGGGTCTCTATAAGTGTTCTCACCCCATGGGACTGGAGAGAGATAGAGATAGATGATAGATAGATAGATGATAGATAGATAGATAGATAGATAGATAGATAGATAGATAGATAGATAGATAGATACAGAGAGACAGAGAGAGAAACAGAGTGACAGAGACAGAGAGACGAGAGAGCCACAAGCAACAGAATGCAGAAGGCAAGTTTCATTAGAAAACAAAGAAATCATTTCACAAGGACCACTGAATACAATCCTGCACATGATTTCTCATGTCTGGAACACAAAATAACATTTCTGTTCTCCTGTTCCCAGAACTTTTGAGGTGTCCCAGACAATCTTGGCCCTGAAGGACTTGAATAACTTCTAAACCTCATGGCCTTTTCAGTTTTTTTCAAAGAGCTCAATTTGTATTACACAGAATGTGGTCGCCATATCTCTGAGCTAATTTAAGAATAGGCAGTCTCTTCTTAAACTTTATTATTTATCAAAAGTACATTATCAACCCTTTACTCACTGATCTATCACAGTCATAATAATAATAGTGCTATAATTTTTAAGGCATGTAAATTTGCCAATGATTGGTCACAATTAATCAACTAAGTGTTCTGATTTGATCAATGATATAGTTACACATAAATTTGTTTGCAATCATATTTTATTAATTTTGTTTGACGAATTTTATTTAGTTTTGAACTGTCATGCAAATAGAAAAATGTACATAACAGAAAATTGTGCACAGACTAATGAAGTATATTTCATAATATTCAATAAAATGTAGTATTGTTTGTATTTTGAAATAATTTCTAACCTATGTCAATTCTCTAGATTCCAAACTTTGGCAAAAATTCAACATTAAGTCTATTATATTTAATATACTCTTTTGATATTTATTTTTCTTTAAAATAGTTTAAACTGGCTTTGAATTTCAAGACAATTGCACCTATTATTCCACAGATTATAATGGTATGTTGTATAAATATTTTATGCAGATTACTCAAATAATAATTTTATAATCATCATAAAAGGATAAAATAAAGAAAAAAAAGAACCTTGAGCACGTATTACCCAAATATGTAAATACAGCTAAGCCTTTCTGAAATAAGGGGTGAGCTATATAACGTAACCTTCTCCAACTTCATTTCCAACTTTAATAAAATGTTTATTGAAGAATAAAAATATACCCCTGGGCATAGTGGATCACTCTGAAAGGACCACACAGCCAGCCTGAATACAGAAACCACCAAAGGGGATGTCACAGCCCTACCAGACCAAAACAGAGTTTTAAAAGTACATGCAGTTCCCTAACTCAGTGTATTGTGCTGTTAAAACCCAACCCTAATTGCTTTGAACTTAATTGGCCAAAAGTTATTTTTGATATGTTTAACTTTCCAGTGCATGGTCTGAGTTGGTGCTCTAATTGCTTTAAATTTTTCACATAAAATGGATCGTCAGGGAAAGACTCATCCAAAGCCTTGTTTCCTCTAAGTCAATATGTGGATAGATGGATTTACAAGTTTCTCTATTGTTTGGTCTTCTTAAAACCATATCACCAGTCACAGTTAGAGTTGCTTTGTATAATTCTTTCTCTTGGTAAGAATTACATAATGAACCCAATTTTATGATGTCACATACTACATAACTGCAAATTATAATAAAAATTTCAACTATACATGCATATTTGTAATTTTTAATTCTTTTTAAAAAATTTTATATTAGGCAGTTTTAAAACATTCACTTTTCTGAACACCTAGATTCTGTGGTTCTATACTTAGCCTTTATGCTTAGTGAGTCCTTGGACAATTCATTTCAAAGTTATTACCCCTAAATTAATTTTTTCCCAGTTAGCTAAATTGAGGATCATAAGAAGAAGATTTAAAATCTATTTTAGTAATAAATCTAAAATAACTTTTCCAGATAATATTCTTGATAGGTTTGCAGAGATTGGTATAAAAAGAACAAGTAACCGCTTGAAGAAATAATGTTAGTTGAGTGTAAGAACAAGTTTTAAAAGTCATGCACAGCCTTAAATACTAAGGAGGGTTGAAAACTAATGTACTTTTAGTAAAATACAACCTTAAACACTAATGAGGGGTAACTAAGTTTCTTGTGTTTCCTTTGACTTACAGTTTCACATAGAAAGAGCTGAAGTAAAACAATGCATCTTTCTGTTGTTTCTGAAAGCAGCTATAACATTTTATTATGTTCTTACCACCTGCTGCTGAATTACATTTTCTGGATGAAGGCAGAATTTTTTTTTTTTGTCTCTTGTAAGCTCATAAAACAGTTCTTATACTCTGTGAACTCTCAATTACTATGCATTGATTGAATTCTGTCTGGAAATATGACAGTGCAAAAATATTTATGACGGAGAAAGCAAATAACTTTAGAAATAGGCATGGCCTTAACACTTTTATTGGGAAGTAGGTCATCCTATCAGTGTTCAGGGGTCAGCAAGGCCATTTTGAACAGTTCTAGGTCTGGTCATACACAGCTAGGGATCAAACCCATACTCTGGCTCATGCAAAAGATGTGTTCTACAATTTGGACACATCCCTGACACCTAAATTCTATGCTATTGAGTACAATAACCTCAGTAAACAAGCTTGAGTACTCCAATTGAGTAACAAGAGCTGAATAATTCTAATCATTAATTAAGTAATTCCAGTAGGCGGGGGTCACACCCACCACCTGGCCCCCTGGCGCCGGGTAATCCCATCAACAGCCAAGACTCAGAGACTATAAAATCCAGCTCCCGGACATCTTATCAGGACATCTTTTTATAATATCTTATTATCTCATTCCTACTCTTTTATAATATCTTATTATCTCATTCCTACTCTGGACAAACTTGCAGGCTATCGCATATAGCCTGCCCACAGGGCAGAGTCTGGCAAACTCCCCATGGCGCACCAAATATGCCAAATACCAGTAACAATGATGGGTCTTATTCTCCTAAAGAGCCTTGAATATAATCTCAGGGCTAGGATGAAAGTTACTGGGGCCTGCTCGAGGCAATCGACGAATAACAGGATGATGAATGAATGAATGAAAAATTAATTAAGTAGTAAGAACTAATTTGGGGAGAATGTGTGAGAAATTTGAACTCTAGCAATTATTTTCCATTTATGTAAAAGCATTCATAATTTAATAATCTGAAACTGATAATTTTATTTATACTTCTTTATTTTGTTTTGCTTGCAAATAAAACGTAGGAGTATATCAGAAATGTCACTAATACACTGTGAGGAAATACTTGTTGAAAATTAATTAAAATAGTATGTTTCAAATATTTCAAAAACCTGCTAGGATATTTCAGATTTAAAAAATACTTAAAGTAAAAAGAAGTCCTAAGAAAGCTGTCTTGTACCATTAAATGGCAATTTTGAATTCTCTCCATCCACGAAATTGTTTACTAAACGTATAGACTTATTAAAGAAAATCCAAAATAATTATAAATATGTCATATATACATATATATATAATGTATTTTGAAACAACTTTAAAAAAAACTACAGTGCAAAGCATTTGGAATTCTAGCTCTCAAATTTTAAACTTATCTTAGAGATAAGATGGGAGAACAAAACAAATTAAACTATAGCCTTAGGATGTTCCCCTTTTATCTATTCGACTCTTGACTGATCAGATCATTTGCCCTTCTGAA